TTCACCTCTTCCTTCATAAATTTATCCTGTAAAAGAGGCCTGTTGTACATTCTTTTTTTTTTTTTGGGTGGGCTCTGTATATAGTATAGTGTAATATAATATACAGTTCACTTTATCTAACTGAGTAAGGTGTCAGTTTTTTTTTTTTTCGTGCAGCTGGTCGCAGCTGTGCTGGACCAAAACTGTCACTTGGTTCTCAGACTGTACGGGACTTTGAGTTGGTTTTCTAAAGAAGTCAAAGTTTGAGATACCGGAAGCGATGGTTGTCTCGTATAAATAGTACGAGATAAAGTTTCCCGAAACTCGAGCATCTCCGGTAACAGTTTTGGGTGGAAAACTATATGGGTTATACGTATAGGAAGAGATACCTAAAGTCCCAGTAGAGTCCCGAAGGGCATTTCAGGATCAGGAATGGGACGTAAACCACGTTGCAGTGGATTCTGACCAACGGAAGCCCGCGAGCGTTTTAAAACTGCAACGTCTCACGTGCCTCTTGCAGCCGGCACCAACTTTAAATAAGTTTCAAAACTATTGCTGATTGATTTACTTTTAACCTGATTTCGAGTTTTCCCATGGTGCTAAAGATGGCCGACCATGCCACTGAGGAAAGAGGCGAATCGAGGGGGAAAGAAAGTTTCAGGAGGAACAACAGACAAGTGATCGTCCATCACTTTTGATGTAAATTTTCAAAAAAAAAAAAAAAAAAAAAAAAACTTTGCGATATCAACGATTTTCATTTAACGCCAAATTGATTTTAATTAATTTCCTTCGCAAATTAATACTCGTTGAAAATTTTTCTGGATAAAAAACTGCACTTCGTCATTTCATTCACGGTTAATCAGGCTGAAATTTGGATTAACGATTGTATATTATTTTTGTATAGTTATGCAGGGCTTCAGGGGCTTCCTCGAACACTTTCAACTTGACCCAAGTCAAGTTCAGTTTGAGTCACGCTGTATTCAGTCAAGTTGAGTCGGTTGAACCGGTTGAGTTCTTGCGGTCGCTCTGTCACGGTCTGGCAATTAGGGGAGCACTTCAGGCCGTCCTTTACTATCCTTCTGATTTAACCCTGCCCCTTTCTCAGGATGCGCAGGTCCTCCAGGAACTCCTTCAGGAGTTTCCTCCACCTCGACGTGTTCCTGTCTAATTGATCCCATCAAGGTACACTTTAAACAAGGTTGATTTTACGGTTCGCTGATTTCCACCATAGCCTTTCTTGGTGCGTAGCTCAGATTATCAGGATTAACCGAAAATTACGGTAAAGGAGTAGTTTGAACAAAAAATTACTTGATTTTCAAAAATTGATATAAAAAATTTTTCCACTAAAATCTTTTCGCCCTATTGGCATTACTAACCAAAATATCTCACGTGTATGGACAAACGATACAGGAATTGAAAAAGAAATGGGAGCGTCTGCCAAGGGTTTCAGCGGATATCATTTTATCGCACGTGTTTCACCCTAATAATACTAGGGTTACGCGATATAAAAAAGTTTATGCACTTCGGGAAGAGTTTTTATTTATTTTTTTCATTCAACTTTTTCTTCTCCCTTCGCATTACCTTATTCTAATATCTGAATGGATACCATATGCAGAGCCAAGTTAGTCCAGGGGTTGGTTTTTAATATTGCCTCCCGATCGAAAGGACTCGTGGAATATCCTGAAGCATTAGCCTTCATCCCCTGTTTTTCTTATTTCTCCTATATCCTTATCTCTACGTTCTCGACTCACCCCCACCGCTCCGAACTACCCTCCCCGCACCCTCCGAAGGGAATACGGTCCTTAGGGGGATGTTATCTTATTGACAAGACGGAATGCCTTTCAGTCTAACGTTACATAGGGAACTTCCCGAGATGGATTCTGTCAAGCGAGAACTAACTAAACTTTAGAGTGTAAATCGATTATTTTCAACATACGCATATGGGCTTACATCTTAAATTTGAAAGATTCATCTCGATTTTGCTGGTCCCTTTTCTTTTTCCGGGATGCTGAGCACACCTGTGAGATATTCTTACCGTACAACGTTAACGTGCCAAAAGATTCCATCTTTCCTTCTCGCCTCCCTGCGTTTCCCTTTGTTCGATTTTCCGTTCCTCCCGCCACCCCCCTATCCTGCCGCCCCTCCATCTTCCACCCCTCGCCGACAAGACCGAATTTCCCATCGGCTTTTCGTAAGGCTCGAAATTTAAAAAACACTACCCCTGTTTTTCCTTGCACTTAACCAAATGGCCGGAGGGTGGGTTTGACGAAGACGAAGAGACTTTGGTAAATTTTCATCCCCTGCGGTTACACCCTCGCACGTCTATACCTACCCCTATACGCCACTCTGCTCATACGGGCTAGCTGTCGACTTCCTTTAGCCACTGGCTCAATTGGCTTTCGCCATGGCAATGCAAACTATTCTGACAGGGTGTTTCCATCAGTCGGTATATTTCGTGGCTTCGCCGATCTTGATACGCGAGATACACCGGGGTATCCACCCCCCTCGTCCTGTAACGAGAATAGGGGTTGGTTATGCTCTCCAGGTACTTGTGCACCCTTATACCTATGGGTTGACGTACCAACGTGAAGGGATGACGGGATTATCTTTCTCTTGCCTGGGGGTACTCGCCTTGGATTTGCACTTAGCTTTCATGTCTGCTTCCTTTCTCGATTGTGACTACGTCTCTGTTCTGGCCCCAGGCAGAATCCACCCCCCTCGAGAACCACCCCTTTCCAGTAACCCCCAACACTTATCCAACCGACAACAACCCCTTGCTGGGCTTCACTTCGCGAAAGTAAATACACACTCGTACCATAACCTAACCCAACGACTACTACCCCTCCGTCCACTGACAGTTGGTAAAAACTTTTTTTTTTAACTACCCTTATTTGCACCTTCCTCCTCCTGCAAATAAATAACTTCACGACCCTTCGCGGCTACTTTCAGCGAGCGTCTCTATTTTCAAATTTTTATTACGAATTTTCTTTAAAAAATTACGACCCAACCGACCGTTCGATTTATCGCGAAAAAACGAGAGGGGAGGCATTTTTCATTTTTAAACTTTATTCGTGGAATTCGACCCCCCTTTAAATTTACCCCGTTATAAACTCGAGCTCTGTACCGATCTTTTTATTCACTTTTATTCCCTTCATTTTTTTTTTCCACCCCTCGGTCGTTCCACTCAAATACACGCTCGTAGATTCCTTTGACTTTGTCACGCATTTTACGCGTTTCAATGAACAAACATACGAATTCCCAAAGTTTAACCAGTCGCCGGAAGTCGATTGTACCACTCCGGAAATGCGATTACCTCGAAATTCCTAAAATCATGAAAATCAATTGAATTCGGTACAAGGGTTAATTTCGACGATCATCTCGTACCGGATTTACAGAATTTCTCTTCCCCCCCCCCTCCCACCATCCATCCCCCCTTCCTTCCTCACCCAACCTTAATTATTTCCCCTCCGTTCGGACCTAACGAGATTTCGCAAGACGATGCATCTTGCCATTTTCTTCCACAACTGAATCCGCATCGCTGATAACATAAATACACCAGACCTAAAGGCTGCCCTTCACTCAGCTCCATTCAGACTGTAGAAAGTCTAGCCACGTCGAAACTAATCGACTACGAGCTCAATCTCCCATTACCTAGCAGTACTTCATCATCCGTGGTTCAAAACAATAAGTAGATACAGTGCGCAACAGTGCAGACCGAATACTCAAGACTAAGAACTGCAGCGAAGCTACGAATGTATAAAATCGATACCGAACAGCAAAAAGGAAACACCTCATTGACCAGCAACACGCAAAGTGCATGACGAGTAATGAAAAATGGTCTGGCAGTCATAACCCAATATGCATGCATGTAGGTTAGTTGCCACTTCGATGCGATTGCCATCCACAAAATCGTTAGGTACTTTAACGTAATTAACTCGCAGGCAATAATTAGCTCGAGTTAAGTGGCTTCGTGAGAACTTGCCGACAAGCACTGTTACCTGCCTTGTTACGTCTCTACATGCCTTCCTTCGTATGCCTATCCTTTCCCATGCATTCGCATATGTCTATATTCATATATTTTGGACTCTGACTATATCTGTACCATATCAGGGCTCGGTACACGAAGTAAGGGCCTGCAGTGGTATTAATATTCCATTGCCTACACAGGGCTTAATGGAAACTCCGTAGCCAGAGAATTCTCACATAATCACGCGCAACCCATCCACCCTTCTTCCCGCATACGAATTTCCCGTTTAATGACATTAGCTATTTAACGGAGCGTGTAAGCCGGTACCGATCGCTACTGTTTCCGCGGTGATTTAATAATCTGTACGGTCATTTCCATTGGCTCTCAAGAATTTAATCCTTTAACGTTGATACCGTCATTGATGGCTGATTAAATGAAACCGACGTTGCGTTAACGTCGGTTTCGCTTTAATGGTGATAATAATTTTAATTCGGTTGCTTCGGCATTTATGACTTCGATAAAAGAAGTTTTGTTCGTAATTTTTTTTTTTTCGTTTTAACGTTACCCGGCTTGAATTTAATTTTTTTGTCTTTACCTCGTTAGCTGTCACTGACGATACGTGAATTACGACGTCGCGACGCTTATTAAGTCCCGCTTGATTTCAATCCATTAACGCTCAGTGTAATGTCGAATAATAGTAACGTCGGTGAATAACATTAAGGGTGAGTCCACACCTCAGCCACGTTAGGAAGTTACCGCTCTCATGAATATCAAAATACACGCTAAAAGTCATGCGAAGCAGGTCCCGCAATGGAGTTTACCAAATGGGATATACATTAGGTAAACATTTTTTTTAACTTACCTAACTGCTCTAGTTTTTTTTTTTTTTTTTTTTTTTTTTTTTTTTTTTTTTTGGGAAAAATTTTATTTTCTGTTTACGTGAACTTTCTTCAGTCGGGACTTTATTGAAATTCGATAATTTTGTTTTTTTTTCCGGTACCGTGTCTAGCCTGTCACTTGTGTGAATTTACGTGTAATTCTTTTTTATTTTCAGGCTTTGGCCCTCTTACGCAAGCGCCCACAACAATTTGGGAACTTTGACCGTCGGGGATCAGGCCGAGCAACACTTTTTGGCTGCGATCCATGCCCAACCTGGTCACGTGAACGCGCATTACAATCTGGGCCAGTTGTACAGGTATGTCGAAACAGTGTGATATGCCGAATTAGCCTTGCCGTTGCTGGTAATTAGTGTAAATGGTAATGTAATAGATTTTTTAATTAGCTCGTGGGATAGTGACGCAATCCTAATTAGGGGATTACAAATCGTGGAGAGGACGGGTTGAACTCGGCTGAGAGAATGAAATTCCACTTGATACGGAATTTCTCATTAAACGGATAGCAGTGTAGCACTGTACTGCGCTGGTACAGCCGAGTACGAGACAGGCTTTGGGTCTGTGTACATAGAACGGGGACACGCGTTACCTTGCTCTATGTACGTCATTACGCCATTGTCGAGGCACTTGGTTGCGAATAAAGTTGTAGATAGCGCGAAACGTTTTATCAGGGTTTTATTGACCGAAACGGTGCTCTCGTGTATTTTCGACGGTATATCTTGCGTGCTGGTAATTCCGACGCCGCGGTCGAAATTAAAGTTTAATTAACGCCCGTAGAGCCTCGGCTATTGCGAGGCTTTGGGTTTTCACGAGAGCGACGTGTTTCTGAAAATCATTGAAATTGAGGTTGGAATTTTTTTTTTTTTTTTTTTCAAATTCCTTTGCATTCTTATATCCAAGTGGGACTTTGCTTGACTATCGTCAAAAACCGGAAATGGATTTTGGCTTTAAATAGCATCTTTATTGGATAATAATAAAATTAAGGTCTAAAATCGATCAATTTTGTAAGGTATCAATCGAGGGAGGATCTGTACATGTGTATCAGCCAATTGATGGGATACAAAGAATCGAAGCAGCTCTTAAAATTGCAGTACCGTTCGTGAGCGATAAAATCCAAACAGTAGCGTCACTTCCGGGTAACTGGCGTTATCGAGCAATTACCGTGTTCTCTGTGTTTTCTTCATTGCCATGTCGAACAAAACTTTAATTTCTCCCGTACGACGTTAAAATTTGTTTGGCTCATTTCTACAGTTAAGATATTTCGGCAGTACAGTTCAGGTACCGCAGTTTTGACCGAAGAGCAAAATAAATTTTTTTTCCTCGAATCTTCGGACAGTTTGTGAAATTAAAGATAACATTTTTTTTTTCCAATTTTCAGAAAGACAAATCGCACCGAGGAATGTATCAAGATGCTTCAGAAGTGCGTGTCCCTGGATCCCGCATATACGCCTGCCTATCTGGTCCTGGCCAGGCTGGCGACTGGCTCTGGGACTGGAGCTTTATTGAGACACGTAGTCCGACTACAACCCCGAAGTCCGGATCACCTAGCGGAATACGCCTCGTGGCTTTATGGGAACGGTGAGTGACTGAGAAAAAAATGACAAGAGTCCCCCTATGTATTTGGGGACCTTTGAAAACCCCATAATACACTGGGTATACAGGACCTAGTCAAGCCCCGTTATACGTTTATACAGGTTAGTCAACCTGTTATACGTCTAGACTGTGACGAAGGAAATTTTTGGTGTTTCAGGTAAATGGCTTCCATCCCTCAAGCATTACCTGAAGGGTATGGAAGTCTCGCCGTCGCACCGAGCATCCCTTCTTGGCACAGCCAGGATCCTGAGGTCGAGAGGTCAATGGCCAAGAGTTCACCAGCTGATCACTAGGTGAGTGAACCGACTATATATACGTCACGAACGGTGGATACTGTATCGCGATTGATACGATGGTGTAACACAGGGTGGGATAAAAGTATGGCCAGTTATTTGGGCTTTCTCTGCGGCCGTAATTCCCACCCTCTCTGAACTAACAACCCCCCCATAAAACATGCACGCTAAATTTGACCCCGGCCGAATCGGACTGTTTTCGCAGTCGAGGGTGGCTCGCGTGAGCGACACACCCTTGGAATCGTATGGGCCGAGTGAAGAGGGCTGTCGGTGGAAGTGGGTACGGGCCAAGGGTTGCCTGGCCCCTACCCACCGGAGGGGCTGCTTGTAGATGGTGACTTTTCAATATGCATCGTTTGACAGATGCGCCCCTGCTTTTTCGATTTTAAATGCAAATACGAATCTCGTCGGCCGCGCTCGCGAAGTCGCACGCGACACTTTCGCTCGTTCTAGTAAAATATATCCTGCGAAACTTTTCCAACCCCTATAATAATACTGTGGGCCGTTTCTGATTTTGCCTTGTGTAACGTATTGACTGTACGTTAAAGTGGTACCTATACCTGCTGGCAGCACTGCTACCCCTTTTCACCCACCAGTCCCGCGGCTCTTCAACCCCCTCGCGCCTCCCTTTCTAATTTTACGCGAAACCTTCCTAACACGCTTTCCGTGGATGCGGCAATTTTTCTTCCCTCGGGTTCTTCCGTGCGCCTTTGGCGAGGGGTGAAAGTGTAAGAGATGTAAGAAAAGAGAAAGAAGGAAAAATAAGGGATGAAAAGGGGTCTCTGTGGGAAAAAGGTGAAATTCTACCGATGGGTTTTACCGCAAACGTAAGATCCCTTTCTCTCGCGACGCCCGGAAAGCGTACGCGATTATTTCTACGGAAGCGATACGCGAATTACATTGATTTTTCATTCGACACGCGTCGCTCGATGGATACGAAAAATGCACCTGCGGTATAGGCCATTTGCTAACGTTAAGTGTGCGACAAAATTTTACCACCGCGAATCTCCTGTCGCGGCTTAACGTTTTATTTATTTAACCGAATCCTCGCCGGCTATGAAAATGCGGCTTTAGCCGCGCGTGGAACGAGGTAACTTTTTTTTTTCTCTCTCAGCGATTCCCTCACGGAAAACTGTCGTTTACAGAGAACTCGTGATATTCATTTTTATGTGTATTTACCCCTTATATTATCTATACGTACAAAGAGTTGCCCTGGTTAATTTCATAGAAACATGTGTTTTTTTTATCATCCCTCTACAGAAGCCCAATTCTTCAATGATCAAATTTTCTTTTTCGTCCTTATCCAAAAATTGGATCATCGTATTCAAAGTTTCAGCCCTTGAACCTTCGAAGCGAATACGAAGCCGCTGGTCTATTCGTGAGAAATAAGATTTTTGAAATCCAAACAACACTGTATAAAATGAGAAAACAAAAGTCACGCATAATACAAAAATTGATCTTTACGCCGATAATAATTTGGAAATTTTCGATAACGTCCACGCTGCTTCCGTTAAATGTTGACGGTATATGATAAATCACATATTTACGAATTCAACCTAGCTTCAACATTGTTTCCATGAAAAATGAAATTCACGTATAGCTCCCATTAGATGAATAAGTAATATCCCATGACGGAACCTTTAGCAGTTTTTTTTTTTAATAATCAAATTTATCATCAGCTATCTTGTCATTTACGAACTGACTGTAATTTCATTAAAAATTTTTTTTATTAATAATTCCACTAATTTACCCTGACATTAAAACCGAATAACCATGCTGTATTCTCGCCCCTTCGATCCATCCTCGATGACCTTTATCTTCCACAGGGAATGCTCGCCTTTATAATTCATAGCTCCTCGTGTTTCATACTATCTATCAGCGAGCACCGAGGTCCGATATCATCGACGCCGGTACCCATTAACTTTAGCTTCTCTGATTACGTCACACGTGTATACGTAGATACAAGCTAAGTATCCACCAGGTACATACCTACAACCTGGCAGCACGATTTTCTACCCTTAATCCACTAGGAAATCACCAAGCTAGATATCAGCGTATACGCGAGGTGCGTTTTCCCGAAATGAACTACAGCGACAAAGGGACTATGAGAGTGCGCCTTTTTTTGTAAAATGAAATCAATACATAGTTGACGAAAAAGAAAAAAAAAATTACATAATCGCAACGGAGTTAGCTGTGCCTTTCATTTTTCCTCAATAAAATCGCGACGAAAATGTTCATGAAAATGGAAAATAACTCATCCGGTTTCGATCCGTTTCTATCAAGCGCTATCGAGCGTACGCGTTACCCGAAACAACTTCGATAACGATCCGGATTATACGTGCAGCCGGAACATACCTCCCCTCCACCTCCACGCCCCATTCTCGCCGGATCGCCATGAAAACTCACCCATCGAACCGCTGTCGACCGAATTCCTAGTTCACAGTTGAATTATACATGGAGACCGTGTACAGTCAGCGCATTGATATACGTAAATACTATTTTTCTGTTTTCCCCGTTTATCGCTGTACTTAAAAAAATTTACCTCCGATATAAAAGAAAATCGCCGATTGGAAACGCTAAAAAAAGAATTATCACTGTCACTTTACAGTTTTCATTCGTTCTCTTGAGTTTCGATAAATTCCGCCAGGTTCTCTCTAGGCATATATTTTGATCCGTCATAGTCCTCGACGTCAAGTTGATGCAACGTGTATGCTTTTTTTTTTTCTGTCACACGTCGTATCGCACTTGCCTGCTTTCAGAACCTCCCCCCCCCAGCCACCCACTCTTCACCCCTTGCCAGTACGTACAGTGAGTGGTAGCTAGCGGCTATAAAAACTCCAAATGAAATTTCCTTGTCAAGCCCTACCACGTGCTCGTTATACCCCGTGAAAAATAGGAAGAAACAACTGGACGCAGAAAATAAAGTACGGTATATCTGTACCACCTCATACGTGCCTTTTGAGTACGTTTCTTACGTAACCATGAGTTCGACTATGGTCACGGATACGATTAGGTAACTGAAATAAAATGTACCCAGGGTTCGCGTGTGATCGTGACGCGTGGGACCATTAGTATTAAAAAGAATGTATAGAAAAAATATATATATTTCCTGGGAATGTAGTTTGAATAATTCACGCGTCACTGGGTATTGGGTATCCATTAGGGCGCGTGTGACAGGACTATGATGAGTATATAATGACGGAAGCAAATGAATTTGAAGTACAGGGTGATAACGCTATTTCCATATGATAATCAATATGGAATTGGTCCTAAGTACAGTGTCTAATGTTGCTACGAAAATACGTTATTTCTAAGCGATGTCAATTTTGGGGTATTTTTCGTCTTCCTCCCCTTAATCGTACAGCTCATACGTTACATTGGGTGTCGTTCGAATGAAAGGATCATTACGTGATCAATACTCTGTGAAATGACCTGATAATGTTATTATATTTCTTTCAGGTGGCACCTTATGATGCGTGCACGACGGGGTGGATTTATTTATCGTGGTGACCTATATATACGGGCCTGGCAGCTTCAGAGCGAATCACGACGCAGGGCGCATCAACGAAACCTGTGTTTGTCGGTGAGTGAGAAGAATTTTTTTTACAATTTTGAAATCGTTATCTAAAATTTTTTTTTTAATCGACGAGGATATAAATAGACGAAGAACAACCGTGGCTCGGGATAACGAGCCGAGTAAACGAGGAAGGCAATTGTTTGCTTTTGAAATAAAATTTCACGGTTACTCGAAAAAAAAAGAAAAAAAAAATCGCGACATAATTGCGTGTCAGGAAATTCCGATTAAAGAAATTTATTACGTGAAAATTGTTTTATCTCGCCGATACGTAACGGCGACTCGGAATTTCGAGAGGAAATCTTAATTAAAATATCCACTTGCTGCTCTTCGTCTCATTTTCATCCCCTTATCCTATCTTTGATGACTTTTTTCTTGGTATTTTTTTTCTCTCTTTTTTTTTTTTACTTCAGTGGGAATTCTCTTTGTAATTAAGAAATAGCCGCCCGTTCCTAACGAGTATTCCGTCAAAGGGCGTCACTTTGTTATCGCTCGTTATCTTCGTTCCGATGCGGATGCAAGTGAATTTTCAGAAACGCGAACGATAGCATTTAATAAATCCCGTTTTCAAACGAGCTCAAGAATTTTACTAGTCGCTATTCTCGGCACTTGATTTTTTTACTTTCCCATTGCACCCTCTACTGGGGAATTCATTTTCTCACCGATGCACCAGCCTGCTGCACTTTCGTTGCACTTGCGGCCAAAGGCTCTCGCCGGTGTACCGTATCATCCTTTATTCGCATTTCAAGTTCCTGAAATACTTGGCGAGCTTCCCTGTATACGGGCTATGCGTTTTCGCGTCGCGACTTTGCCCCACCCAATACACTTGTCCTCCTTATATGGCTGCTTAGCTAACTGGCTACACAGGCATGTGGGTACGTACGGGCATTCCTTTTCACAAGGATGAATAACAAAGTTCAGTGAAATTCGTGCAATGCCGATGCGCCTATATACCCGGTGCACCTCGATGCACACGAATAGATAGTGAAATATGGTAGAAGCCGTCCCTGTCCCCTACATATTCACCAATGCAGTTTCACCCTGAGAGACTTTGCACGGTATACCCAAAAGTTAACCCCTCTTTGATCGACTCTACAAACGATTGATTCGTGGTCGGGAGGATTTTTTAACATGGGCTGAATAGACCAGCTTAGACGTCCTGAAAGAATCGTAGTCGCTAAATCGTATCTGCGTATGATCGCTTTTACGCGAAATGTGAAAATCTTTGAAAATAGGAAAAAACATGGACCAGGTACTAACTATTGATCTGATCAGATCCAGACTGGTTTCTGATGACCCTGTACCTGGAATGCATGCACGTCCCACTGTTTAACGATGAGCTTGCAAAATCCTATTCCAAGTAATAATTAAGATTGTTGTACGGTGCAGCTGGATTCTGCGCTGATAATTCTAATTGAATGGATTCTCACGTGGTTTCCTATTGGAACCAGTCGCGTCCCCTAACTCTGAGCTCCTTCCTCCTCCACTTCGCCTGTCGTCATTGAGCCTCTCTTGCTTCCTCCCTTAGCTCTACGAATATATATACCATCAGCCCGTCCCAAGTTAACGGCTGAATCTCGGCAAACCAACTGCTCGGCTCACCCAACCTGGTGCACGTTAAAGACTTTCCCGTCGTAAAAACTTGTGCAATTCAGTCGGGCGTTCGAGCTCCTCGAAGTCTCTAATAATTATCCGAAATATGCTGGATTCGTTCGAGAAGTCCCATGCCTAGCGCGGGAAATCCTCATCCGATGCCTTTGTGCGAATTTACGACGCTCCTCGTACAGTCGTAGAATTTCGAGCATCGCCAGTGATAAAACGGACGCTGTGCCCAGCTCACAGGGATTTCTCTCTCTCTCTCTCTCTCTCTCTCTCTCTCTCTCTCTCTCTCTCTCTCTCTCCCACTCTCCCTCTCACTCTCCCTCTCCATCTCCATCTCATTCTCCATCTCCCTCTCCCACTCCATCTCCCTCTCCCTCTCCC